TTTCGAAACAAATCTCTCGTTATCCGAGATATTAAAATATCTCTCGATGATTTTTCCAAACTAATTCGCATAATCTTTATATCGACATTGACAAGAACGAGTTAAATCATTATCATCCTTCGAAAGAGCAATTTTACAATTCTTCTAATAACAATAAATTTCCGTATTATAACAAATTTTTGCTCACCTGTCTCGGTCGTCGTGTAATTCGCCAGGAAACCGCGTTTCCCTGGTGTAGCCATGTACTTGAGCGTCATCACGTTGTGCGTCGAGTAGTACGTCAAGTCGATGGACGCAGGTTTGCAAAGATTGGCGAGGCGGGTGGAGTTCTCGTTGGGCCCATCGAACACATCGAGATAGCTGAAAGTGCACTTTTCTTTCAATGAATTGCTGATATCTATGTCCAATATCTTCAACACGATTTTCCTGTTCGGCGGTTGCCTGATCTCGTACGTGCACATCTGTTTCCAAATTTCCAAGCGAGGATATGTGGGCGATTGAATGACACCTGACACATCGGTGAATACCTTGCCGCATATTGTTTTGTACGAAAGGGAGAACGTGCCTATTCCATACACGTTGGACTTGAAGATGATCAATAACACGTTCGAATTCGACGTGATCGAGGGAGGAATCGAGGCGCCACAATATCGTTGTATCAACGGAGATTCTCTGCTTTCGCCGTCGTAAATCTAATAAACAGGATAATAACGTCAATTATATTTTTCACGAAGACGAGGGACGAGAGGTTGGAGGATTACCTCGATGTACTGCATGCGACAGTTGGGCTTCATAAGCTCGAACGTGGTCCAATAAATTTGTATTCGTTTTCCAACGGGTAGTTGAATCTTCCATTCGCATTCTAGTTCCCATTGCCCCCATTGCTGGACGGACGGGCTTCTTATGGTACCAAAGGGAGACGTGTACAGTTCGCCACAACCCGGATGACCTGAAAGAGAAATCTACAATTTTAAAGAACTAAGGGGAAAGGGATGATTTCAAATACAAGTCGATCCGTCTTCACCTTGGATGGTCGAGTAGTGAATTTGGAAACCGGAGTCTTGACCAGCACCGTCAGAATGGAAATAGATGATGACGCTCGAGGCGGGTACGATGAGAGGAGCTGGATGCGAGTGATTGCAGTAAAGCCCCAATCGTTCCCCGTGTATAGTGCTGATCTGCAAAGTTCAAATACAAACGCATTATATATCTTGTTCCACTTTGACAGGATTAAAAGACGACACTTACCTCGAGGAAATCGGCTCCGCACGTTGGATGCTCCTCCAGCATCAATTGGCCGAAATGGATCTGTATTCTCTTCCCGGATTTAACGCTAATCTCCCAATAACAGTCCCTGTTCGGCGGATACCTTCCCGGTGATCCAGGGGAGCTGATCGTCCCGTAATCGTTCGTCAAACTACCCCCGCAAATGGGCTTGACGCTGTTCCATTCGAACGCGAATCCGTCGTGGGACACGCTGTTATCAGAGTGGAACCAGAAGTAGAGAGAGTTGTGAGAGGACACGATATTCCCGTTCTCGTGCGGGAACGTATCGCCGCAAAATCTGCCGATCATCTGACTCCCGGCGTTTCTACCATCGTGTATCTATATACGATCGAGAAGAATTCGACTTCGTTCTCTCGATATATAAGGAAAGGAATTAAACGATCGATTCTTACAGTACCTGTAGAAAGTCGTACTTGCAATCGGTCGAGTGCTCCAGATCGAAACGGGTGAACGTGACGTTCAACACCAGGGAGCTGTTCGTGATCAGTACCCAGGCACAGCTCAGCCCGTGTTGATAAACGTTCCCGCCTATCGGGAATTCGAGATGTCCCACGGGATTACGCGAAACACCGCCGCACGTCTGTCGCGGCGTTTCGCATCTGGTGCCGGTGTACGTCGACGGGCAATCGCAGCTCACCACGCCGTTCGAAATCGTGCAGACACCGTTGTTTTTGCAAGGATTCGGGGAGCACGGGTCGATTTTCACGTTGCACGTTGTCCCTAATGGACAATAATCGGAGATATTCACATCGTTGATCGTATTGAAGATAATCGAGATCGAAAGACACTCACCGGTGTATCCAGCATCGCACGTGCAAGCGTAGGTGTTGCCCGAAACGGTGGCACACTTGCCGTGCACGCAGGGATTACTGGAGCAGGGCGACACCTCGGTCGATGATTGACAACCGTTGGGTCCGATTCCATCGCCCACTGTGCCGGGTGGGCATCGACAGATCACGTAGGCGCTCGTAAGTGCTGAATTCTCGACGCACGTGGCTAATGGATGGCAGCCGCCGTTGTTGATCGCGCAGCTACCCACGTAGACGCACGTCACACCGTCGCCACGGTATCCCGTGGGACAGGCGCCGCACATTCTCGATCCCTGTCAACAATCGTTCTCAATTCGAAGAAATCTCTCGAGATTTAGATTCAAATTCGTTACGTTACCATGGTGTTGATGCACTCAACGAGAGGAGACGTGCTGCAACCTCCGTTGTTCGCCTGACACTCGTCTATGTCGGCGCAATAATACCCGTTTCCTGTGTAGCCTCGTGGACAGGAATCGCAGAAGAATGTTCCAGGCGCGTTTCGGCAAGCAACCCAGGGATTCACGGAACACGGCCTATGATTTCCAGCGCATTCGTCCACGTCCTTGATGCAAGCTGGATTAGCACCTTCCGACTGCCAACCCTGCGAAAATAATTGGTTGAAGAAAGGAAATTTTCGATTGCTTTCACGGATCGAGCGATTCGTCGTTACTTGATCGCAAATGCAAGTGTAACCGAGCGGTGTTCCAAGCTTGCTCACGCATACGCCGTGGCCGCACAGCTCGTTGGAGTTTTGAGTGTTGCAAACGGAAGACTTTTTCTTGCAGTGGAGGCCGTACCATCCTGACGCGCAGTCACATCTGAAATTGATCAATATCGAATATCATTGATTTTCGGAAGAATTGATCGAAAACTTACTTGTACGAGCCTGGAAGATTACGACAAGTGGCTCCATTCTGACATCCGAGGTCTGTTCCTAGCAGTCGAACGCACTCGTTCACGTCCACCATACAATTTGGTCCCTGGTATCATCGTGTATTTACGTGTTTATATCAAAGGAAAAGATAGAAACCTCAATTTTTGTAAATATTCACCTCCCAATTTGATGGACAGTGGCACTCATATCCTTCGTAAAGATCATGACACGTTCCACCATTCATACAAGGATTGCTAGCGCATTCGTTTATCCTCAGTTTCGATTCTATAGATTTTACTTTATCTTCCACTTGTCGTATCTGGAAATATCTCGACGATTTTTATATATGAATTCTATTAATTGCGTATATAGTTTATTAAAATTCTTATACATACTCGATGATGTAGCATCCGTATCTTCAAGTTCACCACTGGTGTAGTCTGAGAGTAAATTAGTCGAGCCATTATAGTTTTATTAAGTTTTAAAAATTGGTTTGTCGAAAATCGAAGATGCTTACTTGATTCGTCGAAGGAATTCCCGATTGTTGCGTACTATTCCCTTCAAATCCTCTCATCGTAGCTATTCTTCTCTCTAAACCGTCAGGACCTTCCACAATTTGTGTCAAACGTTGTAAATTCGATTCCACTTCGGCCAGATATCCGCTCTTCCATCTCTCGATCAAACGCGTCGCACTTTGCGCCTAAAAAGGAACCAATTACACCATCAAAGGGATAATCGTTCGAGTAATTTTCAAATTTTTGAGGAAAATATTATTTTTTTATTTACAGCGGTGGCAACGTGAAGCAAATTAATTCGTTCACGTTCACGTAACCAGTCCCTAGAGTCTTCAGGGTAATGTTCCTGTCCTTCGCCGCGGAAATGAACAGATTTCCGTCTCGAGACTCTAACACAGGCCTGAGATGTGTTAAAAATTACGTGTTAATGCAATGTTGTACGTAATGCAATGTCACAAAGTTTTTTCCCTTAGTTACAAGATTGTATCTGGCGGAAATTGCGTTCTCCATACCTTTCGTCCATCCATGCCGTACAGAATCCCAACCAAGTCAACAATAACCATTGCGATCTCATTGCCATATCGTCACAAATGTGCTCGATCGAAATTTTATTGTAACATCTCTCGCCGAATGTTACACACGATCTTTTCCGTGATGAATTTCGAAGTGAACTGCATCGAATGATCAAAAACCAGGCCTATCTTCGAGTAAAAGTGGGCGTATTTCTGTATATACTTATCGATATCCACCCAATATCGATTACGTTTCGGTTATAATATCGGTTATAAGCAATACGTTTCATAGAATATATATTGTATTCTTTTATAATTAATATATATAATATTAAAAGATTCCGTCCGCTTAGATTTAATCACAGGATTTAAGTTATTCAATTTTAATACGCCGATGCTTCGTTTAAAACTTTTTCTTTTTTATCTTAAAACGTTATTTAAACGTTATTTAAAGTATGAACTTTAACTTAGATTAAAAAATATCGTGTTTCAACTTCTTCAGACAAGATTGAAATAATTATAAATTCTAATTTTATCTAAGAAATATAAATCAGAAACTGGAACATTATTGATCAAACGATATCTATAGAGTGGATACAATTAAACATTATAATATATAATGTTAAAGTTTTTAAAATTATGGTAAAATATAAATTCTTCATCCTTTTAAGATCTATACATTCATCTATCATACATATATTCATCTATCTTATGATAATGAATTTTAATAATTTCGTTACATAGGTATACAAGATATACATTACTTTTAGGAATTATTTTTCTTTTTTGATCCGTTATGTTAGCAGAAATGAATATTATTCTTTTATTATGCGATTATTTTTATCTGTATATTCAATACAGAATTGTATCGCATAAAGAGATCAGCATAAAACTGATACTGGAAATTTATAAACCACTGTATGTAATTCGAAATTCGGCGCCAATAAAGATAGTGGGCGTCACAGCCGTGTTTGAAGCGCCGCCTGGCGTGGGGATTCAGAAGTTGCGTGGCGTTCGGAGTGACCGCATAGCCGTCGTTCTCGTCGAAGCCGGACAGTATGGCTTCGGCTGCCGGTTCGTTCGCGTTAGTGGTGTTTGTCCACGGTGCTACAGTGCATAGTTGGCGGCGGGTGTGCGTGCTCCGTTTTTTGCGAACGAAACACTGCACGTGAAACGTGAACGTACGTGGTGTAACAAGATTGTCAACGGGACGACGAGGACGTGGGGCGAGATTGACAAGATACTCGACAGAGATGCGGCGAAATGTGAAAATTGTGTTGCTGCTGTCATGCGCGTGGATGTCTGCCTTTGTTTACTACTATCACACATCGCGAGACACAAAGGTATGTTAATGAATCGTCTTTTATTGTGAATATAATTCCGATGCGTGATCTTGGCCGCCATGTGCGCGAATTTCGATGATCGGTGCGCAGCCCCATATCGAAATAACGTATGCAATAACGTTCCCCTTTGACAGTATACGTTGCTCGAATTTCTACGATTTGATTTGCACGCGATGAAACTGTTAACATGACAATTACTTTAATCTCAATTGTGTATCATTATCGAATAATAGGGAGTAGAAATTCGAAGGGTTTTTTTTTGCGTAGTATGATGTTTCTCGTTCCATGTTCCTTTCGTTTTCGCGCGATATAATATATTTTATTAATGGATGATTTTGGGATAACGAAAATACGATTTTCGACTCGAATATTTCGACATCGTGTTCATCAAGTTATTAAACGCGATTTTATATAGATGTAGATATAGATATTCATAATATTGTTTCAATTATTTCGCGATATAATAAACGTCTCTTGTGTCGTCACTTGTACCAATTCCATTTGAATCTAGTCTATCACGTGATCTGTTCACGTGTCATACGGAACTTGGAAATTGAACGAGTTCAAGTTAGCATAATGCTAAATGTAACAAATGGTTAACATGTGGTAAATAACGGTATACACAGACAAATGACGTATTATTGTTATTAGTCACTTATTAGCTATTATACCATCGTTTATGTGACTTTGTAAACAATTTCAATAATACGTTCCAAGAACGCGATAATGAAACATAGATGGTTAGATTATTTTCTAATATTGAATATGTTCGTAAATATTTATGAATTTTTATACATGTTCCATAAATTTTAATATTATCTTTGTTTTAGCATTCATTTTTCTTTCTTATCTATAATATTTCTTTTTTCTTTCAATATCTACAATATCTGTTTTAGTTTAACGCTAACATATCTTCTTTTTATTATTTATTGTTTCATCGGAGAATTAGATCTTATGCAATATTGCAATCCTTGTACGATATTCGTTATTATAGTAATTATTTTATGTAAATTATTTTAATATATATATATTCATTAACAGGTTCTAACAGAATTTTTTTTTAATTATACATAATATGTTAATCAAAGTCGTTCGATGTGACATTAATTAGCACGATTAATAATAGTACTATATAAATAAGAGCTAATTATTGCGTTCATTGAAGATTCTTTGATACTGTATTTTTTCTAAGTTTCCAATTAACTTGGATAAAGCCACGTTTAACAATCGACAGCAATTTTTTTCAATTTCTCGTCTCCAACTCGTTTTTATTTTATTTTTTTCTCATAAACACGTTAATTAGATTAGAGACAATAGGATACGCACAAATGAAAAAGAGAATGAAAGTGATTTTCAACGCTGCTCCGTCTCTCTAGTAACAAATATTTTTCTTATGTGGATAAATATGGATAAATCGCGATACTCCATGTTTCACGATACGATGATTTCCGCGAGTCATTAGCTACGATACGTGGAAAGAGCTGTGGCAGATTAACATTTGAACGTCATCATAAAGAGTCTCATTAACAGGAAATAACGTGGCAAATATTCTTCTTTCGCGTTTTTCAAAAGTGTTGACACGGCAAAGCCGTTATCGATATTGCGCACCGTTTAATTCAATGTTTTAACGTATAATTTTTTAATGCAAATTTACAATTAAATGATAAGGATCACGAGTGAACGAGTTAACAGTTAAATTTTTATTTGATCGATTAATCGATAATGAATATAATTTATTTATTCAGTCGTTAATTAAAGTATCTTTATCGGAAAATTAGTATTTTAGTTCTGATTTTAGCTCCATCAATCAACATTAACAGTAAATCATATATAATGAACATTCAAATAAACCTTTAATTAAATATATCAAACAGAACTTGATTTAAATTTCGATTAAAAATAAATGATTGATGATCAGTATTATTAATCGATGATTGATATTAATTAAGCGACTGGCTGATGATTAATTCCATCAATCGATTATATTATTTTCGAAATTTCTTTGGCGTTAATTAATGAATCGAATTAATGAATTAGATTCATAATAATACTATATATTCATTTCGATATAGCAAGCTATTATTTTCCGTTTTATAATTGGATATAATCGAAATTGGAAAATTTTCTCAATACCTTTCATTTCGTATATTTTCGATCTTGAAAATCTTGAATAACCTGAAAATCCTAAATGTGTTTCACGCGGTTTGATAAGATGACATCGAAAAATTTGCATTAATCTGCATTAAATTTGCATTCGAGATCGTTTTATCCCGTACACATTAATACGGTACGAAAGATTGACTGATGTGTTTACTGCCTCGAATGAATGAACCCACGTGTACAAGTCTCTGGTAATAGTTCGTCTTCCAAGCAACCGGTCAATAAATCTGTGAATAAATCTCGCGTAAATTTATTTTTGACGCGTTCCAACATCAAGTCGATCGTTTCAATCGTAATTTGCCAACAAGCTGGCAAACACAACGTAAATTTTCTCCCGCGGATCTCAGAACATTTCAAAATCGGTTTCGATTACGATCGAGTATCCAAATTGATTAAAAATTGATTCAATGCTATTCACTTTTCGGAGAATTTAAAAATTCAAAAATTTCGATACACGTGAAGAATCTCACGTGGAATTTTTCTGGGCTTTTTCTGGGCTATTTGATCCATCGAGGATTAAAATAATCGTTGCATAAAAATTTTCAACAGGCTTCGTTCAAATTATTTAGAAAGATGGAGAAGAAACGCACGAAAATATTAAACGAACTTTCGTCGAAAACTTTCGTTCGATCTTTTTTCGTTTTTTTAATACTTCTTTGTTAACGAAATAAAAGGAAAAAGATTGGTCAATAATCGTGTTTTCGGCGGAATATTAAAATTGGTTTCGCGTATCGACAATATCGGCGTTTGGTACACCGCAACATTTTCTGATTTATAGTACCGTAATTTTCTGCCTGGAATGCGGAGTGTTGCGATTGCACCACGGATATTTCAACGTTCTTTCTTCTGATAAAATATCGTTACTACGTTATTACACTGCCCATATAAACCCAAATCCATCCGCACCTGTGTGATTTCCGATTATTTTTAAGAAACTTTTTTTTCCTTTTCCCTCCTTTCAAATCGAAATCCATTCTATGTATTCCTATCAAATTTTCACATATCGATAAATTTATCATTAGATTTTACAAGAATCTTGTTCTTCAGAAATTCTTTTTGTATCCGATAATTACATAGATAGATAGATAGACAGATAGATAAAGAGTTAAGTACATAGATAATCAATAAGTTAAGTTAGAACAATTAATATTAAAGCAGTATTATAATCTCAAACCAATACAAATTTTGCCAAAACTTGCATAATTTGAACACATAACAACAAAAAAAAAACAATCAATTCGAACAAAATAATTCTTTTCTTTTATTACTCCCTAGATTTTTCAAAATTAATAATTTTACGAGAAACGAATCCACTAGAAATGGATTTTTATATTTCTAATTTCTAAATACACTCTGTTCAAAGATATTTTATAGATCGTAGCCGGATACTTTCCAACGATAACGCACGATCGCTTTGGTAGAATGCATAAGTGGCAAGTACATTCGCTCTTTCTTCTCAATTTCACTTTTCAACCGTCTTACATCGGAACGGACGTGATCTCGATCCAGATTCCGATCGAAAAATCTACCGTTACCAGCGAGAAACGAGCGTAATCGGCAACCCGTTACGTTGGTCAGCCAAGTGAAAGCCATCCGCAGAGTTCTGGAGAAGAGCTCTGAATTACAGTTGACCGTTATCGGAACGGTCTTTCGATTCGAGAGAGGTTTCACGAACGTTGTTTGTTTCCGCAACATCGAGTGTCGTTAGCGGTAACGCGTAATGCAAGGTAATTTGCTTCTTCCATCCCAGCTTTTGCCTTTAAATTTCTCTGCGTACAGCCATTAGAATAGACTTGCCGCTTTCGCGTTGAAATTTGCTTGAAACAGTGAAATTTTAAAACGATACACACTGTCTCGTGCATAATATTCGTACGTACATGATCGTTCGTGATCGTAAAAAAATCAACGATTTTTCTTAACCCGATTAATCTTCATTTCTCTGATTTCTTTTTAAGAGGAATAATGCATGGGAAATAAATTGAAAAAAATTGAGATGACTTTAATTCATCGTAATTTCGTTCTTCGAATATCGAACAATTTTTTTTCATGCTCGTTAAAACGTTGGGTTTTCCAGAATTAATACACGAAACAAATCCGTTGAAGAAAAATGTATTTCTTTTTTCTTTTTTATTTAAATTTCACGTTTCAATTTTCAACAAGAAAATTGATAGATTCGCTAAAGATAACAAACCGCGTAATGTTCACGATATGAGAATTTTTAAATCTCGTCCCACGATAGAACGATAGAAAGCGCGATAGGCTAATCAAATTTTCTCGTCCCAAATGTAAATCCTTATTACCATTCGAAACGTTGTAACCGATTCGACGGTTTGATAAAACGGTGATCAACTCGTCCATTGCGATATTACTATCGAAATTGGGACGTTGAAATTCGTATTTGAATTACACCAACGCGTATACCAATCGAGCCATGTGATTCCACGTCGAAATTATTGGCCGCCTCGAGATCGATACACCGTTAATCGAGAGGCAACGAAATTGAATTTTTCTATTATTAGAAGGTTGAACCAGCTTTGCAAAATCATATCGGAATCGGTAATACGGTTCTTCATTCCGTGTACGCAGGTAACGAGATCGCGGTTGATCCACTTTTACGATCGGCAATAAAGCGCTTCATGACGCACATTTTTTCCCCCATAGGCGTGGAAAACTATTCTGTTCGATACGAGGATCCATGCGAGAAGATTCCTCCCCCTTCGCGATTTTCTCCTCGTCGATGGCGCGGCGTTAATCGTTGACGCTCTAATGGAGCGGACTAATCGCGCGATCCTGCAGGAAACGATTCGGCCATTAAACTCGAAAAGCCACGGGGATCGAAA